TTTTTGAACCGAAATTTTCAGGTCCTACTGGCGGGAACATTGTAAGCCCTGACGATTTCTGGCAGGTGTATATGCCGGTTGAAAGAACGCCGAAATTGCGGTTAAAAAAACGCCGAAATTGCGGTTCAAAAAACGCCGAAATTGCAGTTAAAAAATGCCGAAATTGCGGTTAAAAAACGCAGAAATTGCGGGGTAAAACGCCGAAATGGCGGTAAAAGAAACGCCGAAATGGCGGTAAAAGAAACGCCGAAAGTACGGTAAAAAAATCGCCGAAATTGCCCCCAAAGAACGCCGAAATTGCGGTTATAAAAACGCTGAAATTGCGGCCATGAGCGTCAAAAGTTAAATGCCCGAAGGGGGGGTAATATTTTTTCTTTTAGCGTAGTTTTTCTTTTTTTACTTCTTTTCCTGTTCTGGCCGTGTTTATTATTTTTTTCCCATAACTTACTTTGCCTTTCTCGCTCTCTCTCTCTCGCTCTCTTTTTCACAGGCTGCAGTTTTTTTTCCTCTCGAAACGGAAAACTAATATTTGGCCCACGTTTGTGCGGGTTGAGCGGGAAGTAACCCGTACGTTTGCTTACCAAAAGCACCCGTCTTTTTATCAAAAGCACCAATCTTTGTTTTTCACAAAAATGAAATTAAAATGAAATTCACGTCTGTTGTTTCCATTAACGCACTTGTGGTCCAAAGAAGCCTTGTGTTTTTTTTTTGGGTCTTTGTTTTTTGGTCTTTTTTTTGTGATTTGTTTTTTTTGTGCACGTGTTTGAATCAATTATCATATAGAAACATCTGACTCACGGTCATTATGGATGTATCTAGACTTAAAGTAGCCCCACGTCCAGTGCTAATGACCGTTTGTTCTATTCGGGGGAAGACGGTAGGACACTCGCACATGTGCTGGCTTACAGAGTTTTTTGTTTCTCTTTTTTGTTTTTCTTTTGACCCGATGTTGCTGTCTCATAGTTATATACATATGTAGAGTCATTGTGGACATACGAGAAAATATATACATATGTATGTAGCCATATGTAATACGTATATGTATAGATATATATGTCGAAATCTACGGAGACATGTATAAAAAGTATATAAGTATTTATATAAAATATATAGAAAATTTTAAAGATACCTAAAGCAGATACATGCCACATATGTAGACAGTATGTATATTATAATATACGTTTTTCAGTATATATTTTAATATACATTTTTCAGTATATAGAGAGGAAACTATGCTTGCAGGGGTCCCCTCTAGATAGTCTTAGGAGTAGGTAGTGGAAGGCAAAAGAAACAGAAGTTGAGAGGAGTATTAAAAGAAACGTACATCTCAGAGAGAGATAAATGTCTAGAAATTTGTAATTAACGGATGAAAAACTTCGCACATAAAAAAAAAGAAAAAAAAAGAAACAGAAGTTGAGAGAGGAGTATTAAAAAATAATAATAAAAAAAAAATATACATTTTTCGGTATATATTATAATATACATTTTTCAGTGTACATTATAATATACATTTTTCAGTATATATTAATTATAATATACATTTTTCAGCCTCGTGATGATGAGTCGGTGAAACTCCGACGAAACGTTTGTCACAGCCCCTCTTTTCTTGTCCTCTTCTCCCTCTCTGCCTACGGTCGGTTTCCTGGGCAGCTCTGCTTGACGATATAAATACCTTTGTAGAAAATGTATTTATTTATTTTTTAATATGTAAAAGGTGTATATACTTCAGGAGACTGGCCGGTGGACCGTAGGCCGGGCAGAATGGAAAACAAGAGAAGAAGCGGTGTATCTAGACGCTATGAACCTATTAGGGGATTTAACTTCGACGTTCCTGGCCGCGATTTCGGCGTTATTTGAACCGAGATCGTCAGGGCCGCCGACTGGCCTAGCTCAGTATGTACACCCCTCAACTGTTGAAATACAGACCTGACAATGGCTGCGTGCCCAGCTCAGTGGGCGTACTATTCTTTCGCCTTTTACTAAAGAATAGCGTGGGCTGAGCACGCGTAAGCAGCTTACGTGAATTTTTCATGGGCCTTCCAGATAAGTCTGGACCAAAAAAAAGAAAAAGAAAAAAAAGAAAAAAAGAAAAGAGACCTGAGATCGAACTCCTCTGCAAGTAGATGAGTAAAAAAAATACTTCGGTTCTGAATTGCCTAGGGCTGGTCAGTTCCAATGATGACATCTCAAGGCGGTGGCCCTGACGATAGGGGAAATGTTTTTTTGCCCGAAGGAGGAAATGTGTATTGGGGCAAGCGTCCCTACTCCAAGTAGATGGTTCTGCACGTGGACGTGTGGCCGTCCAAGTGCAAAAGGAAGTTTGCTCACCATTCGTGAAATAGTATATCGTTGTGCGTTTCTGTGGGTCTCGTTTTTCTGTTCAGGCCGCCTGTTGCTGTTTTCCAGGTGCATGCTCATGGTCTGCACTTGGACGTGCGGATGTCTAGGTACATGATGCACTGTGTCCCGTACATGTTAACGTCGGTGGATATAAAGTGGTATTTTTGTGCGTGTCCGTGTGTCTGTGTATCTGTGTGGGTGTGAGGCGGGTGTAAGTTGCCATGGATATAGCCGTTCGTTCTCCGTATATATGTTTATAAATGACGAGGCTTTGGCAATTTTTTCGACATGGAAACGGGCTGCGTGAAAACGGGCGTGCCGAAGTGCCACGGTTTGCCTCTAATTGCACACCGTGGTCAAGGCTTTGGCGGGATTCAAAGGGATCGAGTGTTGCTCTCCCCGTCCTCCGCTTTCTCCCCCCTCTCCTTTCCCTTTCCCCATACCCTTTCACGTCCCCTTCTCCCTCTCTTCGTCCCCCTCCCGGTTCCGCCTTCCCTTTCCCTTGTTCTCCCCTGATCTAGGCGGTGCACTATCTCTCTCTCTCTCTGTGTCTTCTCCCCCTGCTCCCTCTTCTCCCCCTTCTCCCCCCTCTCCTTTCCCTTTCCCCATACCCTTCCGCGTCCCTTTCTCCCTCTCTTCCTCCCCCTCCCGTTTTCCCTCCTTGTTCTCTCCCCTGATCTAGGGCGGTGCGCTATCTCTCTCTCTGTCTGAGTCAGCTGGGCCGTTTGGTTGAGCTTGCAACTCCCATGAGGGAGGTCGCGTGTTTGATTTTTGAGATTGAATCGTGGACGAACAATGCACCCTCCCCGTATCCCGTTACAATTCAGGTTTGCTACTTTCTCTATTTTTTTTGTCCCTTATCTCACGCCTCGTCTTGCTCAGTTTCACTAACTCCAAGCTCTCAGCTTTTGCCACTGTTCTGAACCTTCTTTTGGTAGCTGTTGTGGTGTGTGTGTGTGTGTGTGTGTGAGAGAGAGAGAGAGAGAGAGAGAGAGAGAGAGAGAGAGAGAGAGCAACGGGCATTAGTCATGGCAGAGCGTGGCAGTCGTGGCAGGTTCCACATCGCTTGTGTGTGTGTGTGTGTGTGTGTGTGTGTGTGTGTGTGTGTGTGTGAGAGAGAGAGAGAGAGAGAGAGAGCAACGGGCATTAGTCATGGCAGAGCGTGGCAGTGGTGGCGGGTTCCACATTGCTATGCATGCATATCTTTCCCACTCTCGGGGGAAGATTGCTAGTGAATCTTCCTGAGAGAGTCTGGAAAATGTGCATGCAAATGCGTTGTTGATGGTTGCTACGACTGCCAAGCTCTGTGGCAGTGTCGTGCCGGGTTCCATATCGAATATGTGTGCGTATCTTCCCGCGAGAGTTGGGAAGATACACATGCATATGCTTTGTTGTCTACGACTGCCAAGCTCTGTGGCAATCCTGCCAGGTTCCAGATCGCATATTCCTGACTCTCGGGGATTCCTAGTGAATCTTCCCACGAGAGTCGGGAAGATACACATGCATATGCGTTGTTGATGGCTGCTATGACTGCCAAGCTCTGCCGCGACTAACGGCCTCGCTGCACTACTCACCAAATGTGCAAAATGTGAATGAATCCTCTGCTAGACCATTGGAAAATATACAGGCCACGAGTAGTAGAGCGACCAATTGTGCAACATGCGAATGAATCTTCCGCTAGACCATTGGAAGATACACCGCCATGTCTTTTGTCTTTTGTGCATGTGGTGAGTAGTGGAGCGACGCCCTAATGCCTCTCTCTCTCTCTCTCTCTCCCTCTCTCTCTCTCTCTCCGACGATGGCGGCGTTGTGGGTGGTAACAATGTTTTGTGTCTTTATTATCGTGTAGTGGGCCTTTTTTTTTTTAAACCTTTTTTTGTTGGTGTCCGTTCTTTTTTCTTCTTTCTTCGTCTATAGGGTATTACAATCTGGACCAACAAGTGTTTCCACATCTATGAAATTTGGCCTGGCTGGAGTATGATGCCGACCCTTCACTGGCCCTCCTCAAAAAGGTCCATGCCCTTCTGCAGTTTACTGCAGACAGTGGGGAAATAAGCGGGCGTGATTTGGGGGATTTAAATCAATGGGAACCAGTCTTTTTTCACGAAACAAGTGCATCTTCAACATTTCCGTCTTCCCCTGAATAGAGTATAAGGCCATTACAGCTGTATGCAGGGCATCTTTCAGTCTAGATACGTTTGACATTTCCGTCTTCCCCTGAATAGAACATCAGGCCATTACAGCTGTATTCAGGGCATCTTTCAGTCTAGATACAGTGAAAAAGATGGTATGTTGTTTTGTTTTTGGTTTCCAGGTAGTTCAGGCCCCAGGTAATCCAGGATTATTCATTCCATTCATCTAGGTGCATCACGATTCGAACTGAGGTCTGTATTTCAACTGTTCATGGGTGTATCAACTGAGCTAAGCTCGTTGGTAATGTCAGTATGTTCTATTCGGGTCAAGACGGGTCATTACAGTCAGTGTGTTCATGTTGTCGTTTGTGGGAAGTATGTGGGCATTGTGGACAGATTCAAGGCCATGCATGCTATTCTGCAGACATATGCAGTGGACTCCTGAAGCCAGCAATTTGATGTGGTGCAGGACTAATAACTGATGTGGATTGTTCGGTGTGGATGTTGCGGTGGATTTGTGTTGAATAGCCAATGCTCTGGTCCAGCTGAAGAACTCGATCAATCCTCCGGTGCCTTCTCCTGTCCTTGGCACGTGGGGGCCCGGTGACCCGTGCGCAGGATGGGCGGGAATTGCCTGCCTCCCTGTGGATCCTGCTGTGCTGCAGCAAGTTGTTAACCTGTAAGTCTTGTTCCTTCCTCGTGATATGAGAGACTGCCGGGCATGCCCTGACCGTACAAGGGGTGTTCAAGGATTGGTGCTATTGTCACATGTGGAGATCTGTGTATCTGTGTGTGTATGTGTGTATGTGTGTGTCTCTCTCGCTCACTCTCTTCGTCTCTCTCTGTGTTTCTTTCTGTCCCTCTTCGTGTTTCTCTTCGTTTTCCTCTGACTGTCTCCGAATATCTCTCTCTTGCAGTCTCTCTCACTGTGTCTCCCTCTGTATGTCTTGCTCTGTCTTTCTCGCTACCTACCTTGTCTATGGTGTGTGCTCCGACTCTTGCACTCTGCCTCCGTCTCTGTCTCTGTCCCTCTCTGTGTCTGCATTGCTCTCCTTGTGTTTCATTCTATTTCCCTCTGTCTACTTTCCCACTCTCTCCTCTGTTTCTCTCTCTGTCTCTCCGTTGCTCGTCTCCTACTCTCTCTTGCACTCTGTCTGCTGTTCTCTCTCTCTCTTTCTTTTTCTCTCCTTCTGTATGCTCTCTGTTTCTCTCTTTCCCAGTCTCTCTCCTTAGCTCTCTCTATCACTCTCTCCTACATTCTTGTGTGCTGTCTGTCTCTCTTTGTCTGTTATATGTCTGTCTTGCTTTCTCTCTCCTCGTCTGCCTCCTTCTGTCTCTCTAGGCCCCTCTCTCTCTCTCAGGCTTTCTTTCTCTCCGGCACTCGTACTCTGTTCTGCAACTCTTTGACTCTCGAACTCTCTGTCTTTCGCTCCTTCTCTGTCTCTCTCTTTGTGGGTTTCTGCATGCAGGTCTCTATCTGTTTCACTCTGCATGTCTGTCTCTCTGTCTCTCTGTCTCTCTGTCTCTCTGTCTCTCTGTCTCTCTGTCCCTCTGTCTCTCTGTCCCTCTGTCTCTCTGTCTCTCTGTCTCTCTGTCTCTCTGTCTCTCTTCTCTGTCTCTCTCTTTGTGGGTTTCTGTATGCAGGTCTCTATCTGTGTCACTCTGCATGTCGGTCTCTCTGTCTCTTTGTCTCTCTGTCTCTCTGTCTCTCTGTCTCTCTGTCTCTTCTCTGTCTCTCTTCTCTGTCTCTCTTCTCTGTCTCTGTCTTTATGGGTTTCTGTATGCAGGTCTCTATCTGTGTCACTCTGCATGTCTGTCTCTCTGTCTCTTTGTCTCTTTGTCTCTCTGTCTCTCTGTCTCTCTGTCTCTCTGTGTGTTCGTGTGTTTGTTTGCAATACATGCTCTTTCTCCTCTGTGACTGATTGTCTGTGTATCTTTGTGCACTCCAGCAGCTCCTAGGTGAAGAAGACTGTAGATTTTGGCATGGAGGCTATGAAGTCTGCAAGGAAGATTGTCGTGATTGTTTGTAGTTGTCACTGATTTCCTGTTGCTTTGTCATGGACAAGAGCAGGATGTGTGTTGAGCATTTTGACTGTGAGTGACTGATGTCTGCTGGCTTTGGTTTGGCTGTCTGGTGCAGGACTCTAAGTGGACAAGGCCTGACTGGGTCGCTTCCTCAGGATCTGAATGGACTCAACGGCTTGCAACTCCTGTGAGTTCATCTTGTCTAACCCTGAAATCATTGTCTCGTCTCACGTCTTCATATCCGATACTCTACCGCAATCATTAGCTGTCTGGATGACCAATATATGTAGTTCCTCACTTGTTTGTTTCCCGCTCTTGAAAGGAGTGGATGCTGTCATCTCAAAACCAGCAGCACGTGGTGCCTCTGCAATGAACAAGTTCGGCCAAGCATATAGAGAATTATGACGACTCCATTACGCGGCCAGAAGAAATGAACATGAAAATTACATAGACAGTAAGAGACAGAGTAAAAACCAGAAGTAAAATGGCAAGGAGGGTGAAGCGTGATCTGTACAAGATCTTTTACGATCTATTGTCAATGTTCTTCAGGAGAAAGACAACGGACCCATAAGATGGTGGAAGAGATTGGTTGGTTGGATTGGCAGAGCGTCTCTGGCTGCCGTCATGGCTGGATACGGCGAGCTTTAAACCAAAAAAATGGAGAAGGAAAAAGTCAGAAGGTCGTCACCCACAGGTTGACAAGACTCAACTGGCAATTTTGTGGGTGCAGCTGCAGTATGGGAGAGAGGTTACCATCGCCACGCAAACGTTTTGAATATCTATTTTGGTTTCGTTTTTTCTTTTCTTATCTTAAACACTCTTATCGTGGTGTAAGATCCATGTCTTTTTTTTCTTTTGTTTTTGAATTTGCAATGAAGTTGCTTTGGCTGGTGCCCCTCTGAACAAATGGATTGCTTTATTTTTCTCTGTTTTTTTTTTTTTTTTTAATGTTCAGCCTCCAATCCTTTTCTTTGGATTTCCTCCTTTTTAAGCACTGATTTGAGGAAAGAACTACCCTGTACTACAAGACCCTGATTCATTGGGCCGTTTGGTGGGTGGTGCGTGCGAGGCTTTTTTTTGTACTTCTTTATCGAAGTATTCTCCATTCCACGCAAAGCAATCGTCAGTCACAGACAGAGGCAGATGAACTTCAAAATATTGGCCGCTGATTGGCAACATTTTGAGTGCATCAGGAGGACAACGGGTTCTGATACACTCAAAATGTTGGCGTTTGCCGTTTGGTGGGTGGTGCGTTGAGGCCCGATGAATCAGGTATGGAAATGCGTAGTGTATTGAGTACTCTTGTCTGAACTGTATTCGGGATGCCAGTGAGGTAAAGTCCTCTATCAGGTCATGGTCACCTCAATCAGACTCATTGGCTATTTGTGGTTAGAGATTCTTAAGTATGCTCCATGTTTGAACATTCCCTCAAGTACGAGTATTGTAAGGTTGCCCATAAAGAATGAAAGAAAAAGAAAAAGTTGAAAAACAGCATTGGGCGGTACAGAAATGCCGGGATGCGGGAGGGAAACTTTGCGTTGCAAAGATTTGGCGAAAGGTTGAGGTGCTTGTTGAATGCATTAATGCCGAGGATGGCCTCTCTTTTTTGTCATGTCTTTTTCTTTTTTTTTTCTTTTTTCTTGGCCTTGTGGCACTCAATTGATCCGCTGTGTTCTCTGTATGTATGCGTTTTTGTATTCTGTTGCGCTGGCTTGTTCCAGGGATCTGAGCAATAACCCTAACTTGACAGGAAGCGTGGCTCCTCTCTCTCTGCTAAGTAATCTTCAGCATCTGTAAGTGGGATTTTCATTTTCTGTGTGTGCATCTGGGTGTGAGTGTGCACGTCGTGTTTGCTTTCGAAGACTGCATGAGGAAGATTCTTAAACTGCCAGTGCGTTTCCCAGCCACTTTTCAAAGACCCCTGAAGTAGAGCTCCTGCGTCTGGGCACTCACAAAAGACACATTCTGGCGGTGTATCTGTCCATGTTCTAGCAAAGATTCATCCTCTTTTGCCCTTGGCGCGTGGTAGACTGGTGGAGCGAAAGAGGATGAATCTTTGCTAGAACATGGAAAGATGCTTTTGGTGACTGGTGGAGAGATGCACATGATGAGCACTCAGCACTGCCCTTGGCGCGCAGAGTCCTTTTTCTGCTGTTGTGTTGTTTTCTAGCGAGGTGCAAATGGGTGCAAATGGGCTTTGTCAACGGTGATTTTGCTTCCTAGGCATTAAAATGGGGGAAGTGCAAGCGGGCGATGGCATGGTAAAGTAAGGGTCCGCCAAAGTGCAAGCTGGCGTGGCGTGGGACCCCAAGTGCATAGTGCAAAGTTCTGACAGGCTTTGCGTGACGAAGTGCAAACAGGCTTGTTATGAAGAAGTGGAAATGGGCGGCGTGCAAACGGGCGTTGCAAAGTGCTATATCTCTCTTTCTCTTTCTCTGTCTGTCTGTGAGCGGGGGGAGATGGGGGCAGCAATCTGGCATTGCGCGGCACCCGAAGTGCATAGTGCAAAGTTCTGACGGGCTTTGCGTAGCGAAGTGCAGACAGGGTTGTCATGAAGAAGTGGAAACGGGCTGTGTGCAAATGGGCGTGGCAAAGTGCTATATCTCTCTTGCTCTTTCTCTGTCCGTCTGTGAGCGTGGGGAGATGGGCCGAGTTCCATTAAGAGTTTGTGGAAAACCGAATGGGCTTGTTCGCATGCCGTATAGCGTGTGCATGAATGGAAAGGTATGGAGGACTGGGAGGGAGGACGAATGCCCTCTGATTGTAAGAAGAGTATCCTACCCCTTTTGGAGAATGGCTAGTGGGGAGAGCTTCGGATTCGAGCTGCTCTAACCCTTTTGAACCATTAAAAAATTGCGAGGACTCTCTTAACTGAGGTAGGTGTATATAATTGCATCCCCCTTCTGTTTCTACTCTTTCCCCTCCTCCTGCCCGCCGTCCTCCTTTCTTGTTCATCTGTTCGCTATTCCCCCATCGCGAGCTCCCGTGCTGCCATGAGTTGGCCGACATGAGAAGCTTATCCCAAGCTATGCTGGCTGTTTGATCATTTGACTGGCCTGAGATAGTAGACCAGAAGTTAGTTAATAAAACAAAAGCAACTCGCCGACTACCTCAGCAACTCCTCGACTACCTCTCCTCCACATTCTCCTCTTGCAAGAATGAAGCTTTTCACCTGTGGTTTTGGTGATTCATTTGTGACTCTCTCCATCTCTCTCTCTCTCTCATTTCTGTTTGTTCGTGGTTATCTGCTTGCCACCTAACAATGAGTTCGTCGATCTTCCAAGCACACAGTGTGACACTTACCTATGAGAATGGAAAAAAACAGATTTCTGGATAGCTCATTTTTAAGATGCAGGGACGACCATGCTTTTTGGGAAAAATGGTTTGCGGATGGTTGATTTGCGTAAATGATCGCAGGTTTTATTTTTCAGTTTGGCACCTCCCAATTTGTTTTCGGAATCGGACATGAAATTGCGGGGGGGTGATTTTTAGAGACGCATGACTTCACCTCTAAAAGCACAGAAGGTGAAACCAGTGCGCGCGCGCGCGCGAGAGAGAGAGAGAGAGAGAGAGAGAGAGAGAGAGAGAGAGAGAGGTTCGTGGGTGGTCGACATGTAACAGGCACGCACATGATTTGAGAGGGGAAGGTCAGCAAGTGTAGGCTGGAGGGGTGGCAACAGGAAGAGGTTGTAGAGGTGAATCATTAGCTGTCACTTAGTTATTCTTTTTTTTTTTTTGGTTATTATTTGATTGATCAGCACCAATTCTATAGACCCCCGGGAATCTTCGGTCCGGTAACACTGTACCCCAGTGTTCACGTGCTTCAACTGTGTTTGCTTTGTATGTCATTCCTTGAAAAGCGGAATCACCGTCTGTGTGCGTTGAAGTGATACGTTCAGGTAAACTGACCTGCTATGTCATGGGGGCGAAGCTGCACTTGCCCTTCTTGTTTTTATATTGTTATTTGATTGATCAGAAGTTCAGAACCAATTCTATACTTGATCTTAACCAAAAGGTGCAGAAAGGTATATCCCTTTTTTGAAAAAATTTAAAGTTTTTATTCTTCATTTGCTGTTCACATTCCACTTTGCAGATCACAAAAGAAAGCTCTAGGTGCTAGTGCGTACAAGCTCTAGAGTGTGCTTTTTTAGAGATTACTGACGGTGGGCTGTTCTTTTTTTTTTGCTGTGGGGTATTTTGCAGCAACCTTAATGGAACAGGTTTTGCTTTGGAGCTGGAGTCTTTAACGAGATTGACTAATCTTGTTACGCTGTAAGTGCTGACAATTTGGATGCCCTTCCACGTCTTGTCGTTTTCAACGGAAATCCATCTGGTACTGATCCTTATTCACTAAGATAAGAGTAAGCAGGAATCCATCTGTTCAAGAGTAAGCAATCCTTACCCAATATGAGTAAACAGGAATAACCTCTAGCGGATCAACTGGAACAACACTGCTATGATCTACGGGCTCGTGAAGAAAGGGATTCGGGGAGGATTGGAGGATTAGATTACCCGATAGCTCTTTTTTTGCCAGTGGTGGTCCCCACGGGGCCTGAAGTGGCAGTCCTATGCCTTGTGACTGGCACTTTTTTCATGGCTTGTTTTGTTTGGTTTCTTTTTATTGCTGTGCTACTATGCTATATATGGAGACAGCCATGAAGCTCTGGAGGAAACACTCGTTCTCTTGCCCTCACGTTCAACTCCCCTGGGCTGTTATCCCAGCCAGATGCATCCACAAAAGTGATGGCACGAGTATGCCCCGACTTGTCGGTATATTAAATGAGGCACCACTAGGACTTCTATCTGTGGTCCACTAACTTGNATGCATCCACAAAAGTGATGGCACGAGTATGCCCCGACTTGTCGGTATATTAAATGAGGCACCACTAGGACTTCTATCTGTGGTCCACTAACTTGTGTGACCTTGGCTTTTTTGACTTTTTGATGCAGACGACTAGGTTATGCTAAGTTTGCAGATGGACTTCCGGCAAGCCTTTCGAGTCTTATACAACTGCGTGTTTTGTAAGTGCTGCTAAATGCGAAACTGTTTTTCTGTCTGGTTTGCATTTAAGAACATCTGTGGTCAAATCTCGATCGGTTCCAGCAACGAGCTTATCTCAGTTGTTACACCCATGATTTGTCGAAATACGGATCCGAGTTCAAATCCTGCTGGACTTTAATCAATGGAATAAATATTCTGAATAGATTGGTATTCTTGTTTTTGAAAGAGGGCCGGTCGGATCGATGAACATATCGCAAGGCCGTCGCCCTTTTAAAAAGTTTCGATCGGTCTATATGTGATCTGATTAGTTAATGTGGAACTCTATGCCACGTCATTGGGGACTGTTGTCCCCTATTGGATCTTTTTAATTTTGTGTTTGGGGGAGCTGGGCCAGAGATGGGTATGTAGAGTATGTGTAGAGACTATTCTCGTTCTATTCGATCTTCTCCATTTGAATTGCGCTTATTTGTCAAGTCATTGTGGATCGCAGTGGCGAGTGAAAAGATTGCAATCCTCTAGTTCTCCATTTGAATTGCGCTTATTTGTCAAGTCATTGGCAAGTGAAAAGATTGCAATGTGAACTGGCTGTTTAGTGGACTTAGTAGCAACCTTGATTCTGGCCAAACTCAAGTGAAGGATTGGGTCCACCCCGAAGCAAGGCGGATTACTGAGGAGTCCACAAAATTTCAAGTGTGCCAACTTTGGGGATTCTAATTCTCATTTCTGTTGCTGAAGAAGTCCTGAAAAGTGCAGCGATGTAGGGTTGCTTCTTCTGTCTCGTGAAGGTATATTTGCAAAAACTGGGAAAAACATTTCTGCCCGCATACTGCATGCATATGTTGTTCAGGGATTACTGAGGGGTCCACAAAATTTCAAGTGCGCCAACTTTGGGGATTCTAATTCTCATTTCTGTTGCTGAAGAAGTCCTGAAAAGTGCAGCGATGTAGGGTTGCTTCTTCTGTTTCGTGGAGGTATATTGCAATATTTGCAAAAATTGGGAAAAACATTTCTGCCCGCATACTGCATGCATATGTCGTTCAGTGTTTTTTTGTTTTGTTTTGCTCTGGGATGGTAGGAAACGTATTTTCAGGGTGTGCAGGCAGGGCTGCCGAGGCAAAAAATTTCATATTGAAAAAGGTGCTCCTAAGCATGCGTTAAGCCCCAAAATCCGTAGTAATGGGGGTGTTACTCCTGTGGATCGGTGTTTGTGTTGTTCTGCAGGGACCTTAGAAGCAATTATTTCTCGGGAGATTTCCCAAGTGTCGGCGGGATGAATGCTTTGGAGGAGCTTTATTTGTCAGAAAACAGTATTGCTGGGCAAATTCCTTCCGCCGGCCTTGCGTTGCCAAACCTTCGTATAGTGTGAGTTCGAAGGCCCGTTCTCTGCAATATGGATGCAAAAATTCGGAAGCCCATATTTTTTTGCTCGTTTCCCTGTGGTCGCTGACCGTGGGCGTTATATTTCGCGGTGGGTTGTTTGTTTGTTTGTCATTCTGTGTTCTCTTGCCTGACTGTTGTCGGGTCTCTGTCCTGTCCTGTCTTGTCTTGTCTGGCCTTGTCGTGGTCGTCTTGTCTTGTCTGGTCATGTCAGGTCCTGTGTGCTCTGGTTTGTCTCATGTTGTCTTGTCTGGTCACGTATAGTCCCTATCGCGTTTCTTCTCGGTGTCTATCAACTTCGTGCATCACGTTTCATCTTGTCTTGTCTGCAATTCTTGTCCGTCGGTTTGTCATGTTTGTTTTTGGTTTGCTCCTTTACCTATTGATATGTAATATGTATGTGTTCAATCAACTTCAATGTGAGCCATTTTGTTCCCTTTTTTTGTGTTGTTTTGTGTTGTCCTTGACATCAAATAGTTTTCTTGGAAACTTGTTCCAGGTAATGCTCGTTGCCGACGTCTTTTCGGTGATTGTCGTTCCACGTGTTGTGTTAATGTAATCTCTGTGGCTTGTTGGTTGTCTTCCGCTCGATTACAAGGTTTTCATTTTTATTCCTTTTCTTCTTTTTGCGGGGGTATGGGCCTCAGCACACCACTGTCGAAATGAAAAAGCACGAGTGCATGGTCCGGCAAGGAGTAGCAAGATGCATCCGTTACAATGGACGGACGCATCTTGCTGCTTTCTGTGGAGGATGCACACTCCGTGCGGGGCCAATGTCAAATCTGGTGTTTGCTTGAATTTTGTTACTGACTTACGACACAGCAGTGGAAGGAAAGATGAAAAAAAGTGTCAACTCGGTGAAGCTTTCTCTTTTTTGGTTCTGCCAATGGGGACTAATTGCACTCATGAGGCCCTAATCCAGGCTCTTCTCGGTGCTACTTGTAGCTCAGGGTGAAAATGATGACCACTGTCAAAGTAATGAAAGAAGTGATTCTCACAGGTAACTGATTTTCTGTGGCTGTTTTATTGTACTGTGGTGGAAAGGTTGTGCAATAAGCTGATGCTGCTCTTCAATGTTTGGGCGTTTTGTGGTATTTTCATACTAGGGACCTGTCTGTTAATAGGTTGGACGGCCTGCTGCCTCCAGATCTATCTAGAGCGCCAGCACTGACTGAACTGTAAGTAAATGTAAACTGTCATACATAACCCCCCATGAAATTTGTTTCAATGAAGTACAGCCCCTCTCTTACTGAGGTTGTGTGTGTGCGTGTGTGTGTGTGT